ATGACTAGACTATGACTAGACTATGACTAGACTATGACTAGACTATGACTAGACTATGACTAGACTATGACTAGACTATGACTAGACTATGACTAGACTATGACTAGACTATGACTAGACTATGACTAGACTATGACTAGACTATGACTAGACTATGACTAGACTATGACTAGACTATGACTAGACTATGACTAGACTATGACTAGACTATGACTAGACTATGACTAGACTATGACTAGACTATGACTAGACTATGACTAGACTATGACTAGACTATGACTAGACTATGACTAGACTATGACTAGACTATGACTAGACTATGACTAGACTATGACTAGACTATGACTAGACTATGACTAGACTATGACTAGACTATGACTAGACTATGACTAGACTATGACTAGACTATGAATACACTATGACTAGACTATGACTAGACTATGACTAGACTATGACTAGACTATGACTAGACTATGACTAGACTATGACTAGACTATGACTAGACTATGACTAGACTATGACTAGACTATGACTAGACTATGAATACACTATGACTAGACTATGACTAGACTATGACTACACTATGACTACACTATGAATACACTATGACTACTCTATGACTACACTATGACTACACTATGACTACTCTATGACTACTCTATGACTACACTATGACTAGACTATAACTACACTATGACTACACTATGACTAGACTATGATTAGACTATGACTAGACTATAACTACACTATGAGTGCACTATGACTACACTATGACTACTCTATGACTACACTATGACTACTCTAATACTAGACTCTGACTACACTATGACTACTCTATGACTAGACTATGACTAGACTATAACTACACTATGACTACACTATGACTACACTATGACTACACTATGACTAAACTAAGAGTACACTGTGACTAGACTATCACTACAATTTGGTAAGAATAAAGCCCTAAAAATGTTGCTACTCTCTTTGCATTTAAGATCTTCTCTGATATGATAACAACCTGTATAATGCAAATGAACCCGTAAACGCATCATGTTGCCACTCAAAACGAGCTCCAGCAAGACTTGTCAACTATAATATACAGAGCAGATGATAAACGTTCTGAAATTGTGTCTTATTAGAGATACACAGTAACCGCTCTTAACAGACGAAACTAAATCCCGATCACGTTAGGAAATCGAAAACCCCTCTTGATATAGAAAATTAACACAGTTAGGAGGTTAAGGAAGGCATTATTCCATTAAAATTCATACATAGTTTAAATTAAGATATTGACTTAATTTTGGCAATTTATTGTCAAATTAATGAAACCTTTAATCAAAGCAATTACCACATCTCATTATCTATAATAGTCCATGTAGGGTGTATTTTTTAAATTAACGATAAAAATGTCTATTTGTTGGACATCTATTATATTACAAACCAAAATCTCAATTAAAGAACATTTATAGACATATATGTAAATCGAGTTTTTTCGGTTTCAATTTTATTTTATATATTTAAATCTACGTAAACGTAAATAAATTAAAAATTCAAATGTCCATAGATAATGAAACGAGTTGGCTAAAATACACAACAGAATAAAACCTCCCAGAACACAAATTTATGGAATAAAATAAAAAGCCGGTAAAATTGGAAACAATTTCAAACATTTACTGTGCAAAATCAACAAACACACAAATATTACCAATAAATAGTTTAGTATAAATAATATTTTTTTTAGAAAATATATTTATATTACAGCAACAAATAGTTTAGTAAACAAACAACAACAAAAAAAAAAGATGATAAGAGAAAATAAAGCCAATCGAATTATAAAAACAAAACAGAAAACTAAAAATATGCTAATCAAAAACAATTATTTAAATTCTTTTTTTTTTTACAAAACTAGCAAGAGAGTAAAACAAAACTATTTAACTAAAAAATTTTAAACTCTAGATAGTCGTTATGAAAAGAATTTTTAAAAAATACAGAAGTATCAAATTTTTTATTTACATTTGAATATTTTGTTTTATTTTAGATTCCACATCAATTGAATTGATTTTGTGATTAATGACTTATATATAGACAATGATGGAAGGTAAAATAGTAGTTTTTGTAAATACCAGAAACATATTAGTAGTTGTAGTAGTTTAGTAGGATAACCTAGTTTATTTACGAGGTGCTTTGTAGAAAATAAGATAAATAGGTCAATGACCAATTGAATAAAACTAAATTGTTACATAAATTACTATAAAAACGAACTGTTAATTTAACAATATTTGTGTTTACTTTTCTATATCATACCTATTATTATGCTCTCGACTGTTAAATACTTTTTACCAAAAGCCGTTTTGCAAAAGCTTTAAAAATGCCACAACAACAAAATGAATCCAACAAGTGGTCTTATTCAATTTATTTTCTCTACACAATTAATTGAATAATTTCATTTTAAATGTTTAATTAAATTATTCAAAATTTTTTTTCGCACAAATTTACTATGACATGTTAAAGCAAGCATGAATGAACTACGGATATCCACACTTTGATATGAATGATGCGTATTAATGTTTAAAAGGACCTTAAGTGTGAAGGACATAATACAAATGTAGTTTAAAAAAATGTCCAATAACACCTTTTGTTTAATCTTATATGAAATGAAATTGAAGTTTATATAAAATGTATGTTATTCTGTTTGTAACATCTAGAGGTACTATTTTTGTGTGACCCTGAAAAGTACTCACACTCACATACATACATGGGAATTTTTAAACAGTGTGTACATTTTAAATTTTCACAATATTCATTGGTAAATAACATGCCTTTTATTTATGAAACTAGTTGGCTTTCAACAAATTTTGATAGTTCCAGAAGCCAACAAGAGATTTTAGAACTGCAAGTTCTACCCTTCGAGACAATTCAGTTACAATTGGTAGAATCTGTTACACAAAATACTGATTATAACATTACATTTGCAGCCAATTAACATCGGCAAGATAGCTGATAACACGATTACGTAACTAAAGTGAAAAAAAAATCTATAAGCTGTGTGGCAGATTCCCGGACAGCTTTACGTGTCCGCCTTCCTTGACGGCCTAAGCTCACGGTAGATTTTTTCAACGACAGTTTGAGCTAGATTGCTTTTTGTCTTGCTTACTATGATCCACTTACAAGCACTTTGCTTAAGTACTTGAGCTATCTAATACCTGACTGTTACAGTTCCGTTGTGGTCCCATTTTTGACAACCATATTACTAGGAAAATCTTTGTTGTTTCGTCAACACAACGAAGAGAAGTCTTTAGTAAACCGATGCACGATCTCTATCAATTAGCCAAGACATCGTTTCCTACAAGATAAGTTGGTAGGAACAGCTTAAACATACTCTAACATAGCAGGCAACTTTATCATTACAAGATCAGGATTTCATGTCCATCCATCACCATTCAACCCCTCACAAAATTCTTTCATCCTACATATTCAAGAGAAAACTCTTCCAACATATTTATTCATTCCACTCAACCTGTGCAACCATTTCCTGTGGCATCAACAAAATTTTGTCCCCAGCCACTCCTATGTGATTAGGCAACAGCACCGAAGAGTTCGCCCCGAGGGAAACACTCAATTAACCGGTACAAGACGAAGTCCGAAAGAAAATGCTATGGGCCAATGGTTCCCAAGATACTAGACAGATTAGTTCTCTCAGGTCAGACCACGAATCAAATGACTCCACCTGGTAATAGTCTCAGGCGACCATATGTACTAGAAGCACCTTCCTGGACAACAATAACACCAAGGTGAGGGCAGTTTACCGAAGTATATATCTTCATTTTAGTACATAAAAACTCCCGTAACGTTCTTCTTTAGCCGCAATTTCTTTTCCAGCGGCCGCACACTTTCAATCACATTCTTCTCTGTAAACACCGTACGATGAACGGTATCATAAGTAATCACTGAAAAGTTAGGAGAAACAAAAGGAGAATGGGTGCACGTCCAAAGTTAGTTTCATGGTAAATATCCTAACTGGACACATAGGACTATGGGAACAACATATTGTGGGGATATATTCATAATATAATTATGGTATCAACCTAACCTAACCTATTCGTGTACATCACTTGTAAAGTGACTGGATCTTTATGTACATTGTGAGATCGATTACAGATTACTCAATACTATAATGAGAAACTCATCGGACTTACGATCCTAACTCACTTTGAAAACAAATTGTAGCATTTCGAGCGATTTCAGTTCACAATCATTGTGGGTGAATAATACATATGTATATGATAAAGTCATTCCTTAATTATGCCTTGTAAGCATCAACAGTTGCGGAATATACACGAATAGTCCCCCGAAAGGCTAGATGGTAGTGTGCTATTCTGTCTGTGGGTTCGATTCCCAGAGAGATTCTGGACTTTTTTACTACAATAAATAATATTCCTAAAGAGACTAAGGACTGGCGCAAAAACTAGTGCTGCAATCTTGGGTATAGAAACCCTATACATATATACATACATATGTATGTATATAGTGTTAACACTTTATATAAAGCAGGTCAATGATATAATGATCGTGTTCTAGAAGGTGATCAAATCATAGTTTTTAAGCATTCTGTGTGTCAAATACCAAAGCTAAACCCTTTTGTTTCAAATAGGGATTATACAACTTTATTATCCTTAACCAATTTCACTAAATTCTTTTTCCTTTTTAACCACATAATTACATTAGGACTATTACGTTTACACTAGCCACAAAATTTTCTGCTGGTATAATTCTTATTGGAAAATGATAAAATTTTTTTAAGAAACAAAGATTTTTTGAAGCCCTACTGGTATAATTTTTAATTCAAATAAGAATTTAAAAACAAAATTAACCAATAACCTTAAATAGCTGTTTTAGAGTTTAAGATAAAAAAATATATTAACAAAATGTATGAAAAACTTTCCACTAAAATTAAAAATTAATTTCTTTTTGCCTCTCACTGTAAACATAAATAAAATTACCTCAGATATGTAGCTGCAGTTTTAAAACAAAATTGTTTGGCTTAATACCTTTGATTAAACTGATGCACAAAATATGTATTACAAATAAATTTATTTTTTTTTTAAATTTTTAAACACTTATTTGTTATGACGAGGACAAAAACTTATTTTTTTTTTAGTTGTATATATTTATTTTATATAAATTTTAGCTTTTTTATTTTTTACACTGGTAATATATTGTTTTGGCAACAATTGGTGCACAACAATTATCAAGAAAAAATGGCCAAAAACAATATAATTTTTTTCTTTCTTACTTTTATATGGTTGGATTTTTATAGCCTTTGGACTGTTGAAGTTTTGTATGAAAATTCATATAAAATTTATATTTTCACAAATATTTATTTTTTTATATATTTTTATTTTTTGCTGAAAATAACAACAAATAAAATTTCACTAGATTTTCTTAGCACAAAAAATAATTAAAAATGCGCCTTTTTCGAAAAAAATACAAATAAAAATAATAACAAAAAATGAACTTTTCATTCATTAATATAAACTACAACAAAATATTTTTTATATATTATTTTAAATATTAACAACATAAAAACACGGTGTATTTCAAAAATACGTATGTTGGGGATACAATAACAGAAAAAAAAACAAGAAACACAGAACAACAACAGAAACTATAGAGAGTTGAATGACAAAAAACGCACGTTTTATTGTTAAGATACGAAAAAAATTGTATATTCACGCCTGCACAATGTATGCTTCTGTGAACGCCAAACGACAGACTGAAGCAGGCTTTTTACTTTTAGAACGATGATACCCTCCAAACAAACACCAACACACACACACACAGCCACACAAACACACTCACTCAAACACAGCAGAACAACAATAAAAAATACACAGCCAACCAAGCTGGCATTCAGACACACAGATACACAACAACAACAATACAGCAACACAAAATCCAACTGAGAAGGAGGCCGACACACAGATACATACAATCACACAAACTCACTTTTAGATAGATGAAGGCAAAGTCAAATCAAACTACATATACGAAGCAAAAGTTGTTGACTACTGCTGCTGCTACTGAGCAGTAGAGCAGTAGCAACCGCAGCAGCCACAGCAACTAACAAGGCAGAGGCATGGCACAACAAAAGAAAAGAAAATGCAAATGCCAACGAGAAAGCAAATGATCCAGAAAAAATCAACAAACATATTTACATTACAACAAATATTAAGTAGTAAAAGTTACAACAGCGAACAACAACAAGAAAAACTTAATCAAATGTAGAGGCAATTGTAAAAAAACACAAGCAAAAAATCAAAAGTTAAGAGAACCAAAACAGAGCAACTTGTCGTACGTTAGCGCCAACGTTCTGCACTTGGGAGAGAAGGCTTTTCTGTGAGACAGAAAAAAAAAACAATAACAAAAGAATATAAACAAATACAAGACAATATAAGAAAACCCGGCATTTTTTATTTGCTTAAATAAAAGCGAAATTGTTAATAAAATAAAAATTAAATACATACATATTAAGTCTATTTATTGTCTACTCGTAATACTATACTAGCAGCATGTATGTATGTTGCACCATTGCAACAGCAGCATCATCATAATTATTATCACTGTCATTGTTATCTTTAACATTTGCCTACTTCTGGTGTCGGCATCATGTGTTATGCTGCACAGTGGGATGGAATCAAACTTCATGTTGTTAAAATGAAACGCTAAAAAGTTTTGACTTTCACAAAATGTAACTAGCAGTTCCCGCCCGGGATATAATACCTGAACTTCTTCATCTTGATAAGATTGCAACCCCGGAATGGAAGATGTTCCTTTACTATGCCTGCACTATAAACTGGTCGAGAATTCCTTGGAATAATTTGACTTGAGATCAAACCAAAGAACATATATTATCGGATATCAATGGAACTGGTGGAACAGTTATGAGTTTGTTCTAACTTTGCCTTCTGTCGGATATTTGAGATATTGGAGAGGCCCCTTCTGTATGCGCGAGTTTGGACACAAATTGCGGAAAGAGAATTTTGATTTCTGGACTGATACACTGAGAAATCAATATTTCGGAATAACCCTCATAGAAGTGACAGTGGAACTAATGTTGGGAATGAGTTGATGTCAAATAAATGAGATACATGATGATTGATTCATCTTGAATGTATTAGAGAAGTGTGTAAAGTTAAATGGTGATTGATTTACGGTATCTTATAAGCAAGTGACACCATCCAATTTCCCTTCCACGTCAAGGAGTGTTCAAGGATTGCTCTGTTCATATCAAAATTACCAAAGTATATTCTCACTCATTTGCTATCAACTCATTCACAACATTTAGCTCTACAGTCTCTTCACTGAGGTGTATGCGTTGTCTTCTTCGGCAACAGTACTGATCTCACCTCATCAATATCCGGTTTATTTGTGTGCCTTATAATTGGCAATTTTTGAACATGATTCCAACGGTCTATGTACAAGCTCGATTACTTGAGTTATCTAATATCTGACCATTGCTCCCCTATTGCTTAACTTCAGAAATGCAAAAAACATCACTTCTGTTTACAACCACGCCTCTGTTCATTCATTAGACACATAATCGGTAGATCTAAGTACGAATCCATTAAATAAGACAAAGACAAGAAAGAGGCATATACAGACCTCGTCACTGTGTTCATACCAGACTTACCACAGTTTGTTCACTGTGCCACTAAAGAGGTTTGCCAAATACGAAAGAAGAGCTATGTTTTCATTTGACAAGAGTGATTTCATCGACAGCACTGGAATATCTAATATCGTGGGTGTTTAACTTAAAAATGTTGGATTCGCAAAACATATTCATACATGCGAAATTTTGAAGTGTAGTCGAACATACTTTGAAAATGTCGAATTTTGAGACAAGAAAACGTCATATGTGGGAAATTTTGCTTCACTTTTTAATATGAAAAATTGCCGCTAAAGCACAACCATCTCTAACCGAAGCTACGGTAAATCAATCGGTTTCGAGAGATGGTTTTTACTTTTAAGATGTGGTTATTTTGACACGTAAGTCATAAATTGCCCGATTATTATCACATTCAACAAGATCTTGCAAAATCATTGAAAGCTGTTCAAGCAATAACATAAAAATATTTGCGAACAGTGATTTTGCGCCGATTCGTTATTTTCTTTGTAACATCAATACAACGTAAAAGAACGTATGTGAAGTTTCAGTCAACTAGCCAAAACGACACCAAAGTCAAATATTCCAATAGCTAAGGAAATACTCTATATATGGGAATAAATGGGTTTCTATATGTTACTTACTAGTTGTTAAAATCTCTCATTACAGGGAAACTGTACTGGATGCAAATTCGATTCTAGCATTTGCCGAAAATATGCCGCCAGATATGAAAGCCTAATATTTCACTTTGACAACCCTCTGCCTCATGTTACAATACCTGTTAAAAACTTTGTATAAGGTACTTGTTGGAAAGTTTTACCTCATCAGCCTTATAGACCAGATTTTGACCCATCCGACTACTTTTTCACAAAAGCCATTCAAATTGAGAGCTATACAAACAGCAACATGTGCGAGCAATACGATTTGATGCCAAGAGACTTTAAATGACAACTTTGCATGTTCGGAACCTGTAGCGTTAAAGATCGTATCTGAAATATCTTCCTTAGAGGTTTTGCCTCGTTCGACCAATATTTGTTTTAATCGAAGCAGAATGTTTCCTCCGGGATACGCTTCACTTCAAAAAAGAGTTTGTGAAATTGGCTTGATTCGTACTTAGTCTCAAAAGATTAGACAACGTTTTGGCGCTGGTTCCAAGGGTCAACAATTTGAATAAATTGATATTGTAAAAATGTTGATTTGTCATTGCACTGTGACAAGTCAACAGAAAAGCATCCTGGACGCAATTGTTAAGTTTTCAAAATTAGATTCTGTACTGGAACTTCAAAAACTAGAACTGTACTTTTCTCACATAACCAATCACGGCATATGATATGTTTTAAGAGATCATAGCACTGAAATAAGAGTTCACATACAAAGGGGAGTTTTTGTTGTAAGCCTCCAAACTAAATATATCCCACTGAGTCAAGAAATCATTCTAGTTGATTACGGAAGCGTTGCACAAAGTCCCCTCCTACAAAGTTCCACAATTTGGAAATAGAAAATTATTGCTTGTGCAATACAAGTTGCTCGAAGATTTAAACCCGCAAAGGAAAAATCATATGCAGTCGAATCCTTTCCTTACATGCAGAGATATACATATCTAAATGCCTAATTGGAATCCGCCTTTTACATAATATTCCACTTTTTCCTTAAAAGTCTGTTAAGAATTGAATTTTTGCTAGTTTTTATGTTTGATATATTTCATGCCACGCCTATTATACCTATAAGAAACATTTCTCAGATTTAGAAACCCCATAAAAAATATTTGTACGACTAGACAAAACCCAAATGACTATTTGGATAAAAATTTGTTATAAAAGACTTGTATGGAGTACATTCGTTAACACATATCCATTAAAGCTTAAAACATACATAGTATATGAATTTTTCTATATGTCTAGTATGAATAGTGACAAACAAAATTATACAACAACTTGTTTCAACTTCCAATACTATTTGCAGTTTTAGTCACAGTTATAAAGCAATATTTCTCCTATAGGCATTTAACATTAAGGTGGTAACAATAAACATTTTCTGCAATCCATATTAAACTATAATTATTTTTTTTTTGCTAACAATTTATGTAAATATTGCAATAAAATCAAACCTGGAAATCGTAATTTCTTATTAAACTGATGATAGGTTAACGATTTTAATGTACCGCCACTACCCTAATTAAAATATCTACAACATAGTCTACATATATACTTTATACACAAGAAGTACTCCTCTTGCGCACAGTAGACGACATCAGTCGTCGTGTTAAACCAACATGCTGACAAACTACTTTACAAGAAAATATGACTTTTTTATAGAAATTATTATTTTTCGTTTTTTGTTTTTAACACAATGCTTGCGCCTACAACAACTTTATGAGTTGTAAGATGTCTACAACTGATGTTCGCTTGTTCCTTCGTTATACTCATTCATATATAAATGCATTTTGTAGTTGCTGTTGTTAGTGTTTCTTTAATAAATGTTTTGTTGGATTGAACATGGATACTGTAAAGAAAGGAACTTAACCAAACAGTAGCTGTTTGTGGGCAGTAAAAGTGTTATAATGTTTTGTAGGGTTCTATAAATCGACTTTCGAATAATCGAAAAATCGACTTTTTGTCGAAAAAAGTCGAAAAGTCGAAGTCGACTATTTTGTTCCAAAAAAGTCGATAACTCGACTATCGTCTATGAAAAAAGTCGACTTTGTAAATAAAAGTCGAAAAGTCAAAAAAATCGGAAAGTCGAAAAAAGTCGAAAAAAGTCGATAAGTCGAAAAGAGTCGAATATTTTAAAAAAGTGGAAAAGAGGTCAAAAACTCTAAAATAGTCGGAAAAACTCGAAAAAAGTAAAAAATAGTCGAAAATAGTCGAAAAAAAGTCGAAATAAATCGAAGTAGTCAAAAAGTCGTAAAAAATCAAAAAGTCGAAAAGTCGGAAAAAGTCGAAAAGTCGGAAAAAGTCGAAAAAAGTCGATAAAAGTCGAAAAGTCGAAAAAAGTCGAAAAGTCGAAAAAAGTCGAAAAAAGTCGGAAAAAGTCGAAAAAAGTCGAAAAGTCGGAAAAAGTCGAAAAAAGTCGAAAAGTCGGAAAAAGTCGAAAAGTCGACC